TACAAAGCTGGGGCATAAGAGTGGGGAAACATAGGACACCCCCAAATGGCCATCTCATATTTTCTATTTCCCTCCGTGCCAAAAAAGCACATTTTTATCTAGTAAGGGAAGGTGGTATGGAGCAAGCGAATGTGACCGTCAGTCAAGCGAGCTTGATGTATCATTACCTGCTTCCACACCTCCGTGCCCCAACACAATCCCTGACCTTCCTCTGCCCACTGGGGGACCCTGCCTGGCCTGTGTGTGCCACAGTTCCCTTCATTAGCTCCGCCCACCACTAGCTTTCACATAGACACTCCATAAGCAAGTAGCCCTGAGCTGAGCCCAGCCCTCTTCCTCCCCATTTCCAGTACGTTTTAGGGGGTCATGACCATGGGATGCTGGACCGGGATGGTAAGCATCAGGAAACAGAATCTGGAGAATGCCCAGCTGCTCCCACAGGAAGCATCAGGGAAGAAGAAGAAGAAGAGGTGTGAAGTCTGCCTTCTGCTCTGCTGGAATCCCTTTCATATCTCCTTTGCCTCCAGGCAGTTTTGGTTCCTGGCTATTTCCAGGTGTGACTCACTCAGGATGGTAAGCATCTTCTCTCCTACCCAGAGTAGAGGATGAAGACCTCGTGTCAGAGGTGGAAGGGAGCTCCAGAGAGAGGTCTCAAACTTCCAGCATTAACTGCTAAAGAAGCTTCCTGAGCTGCTGGAGAACCTGGGAAGTGACCAACGATAGGGACTGAGCTCAAATACTCTGGGACAATCCAGTAGCTGGGAAAGTTCCAACTCCAGGGTGATAGAGGACTGCCTGGCAAACCATCATCAAAGCAGAAGACCTGATAGAAACATCACGGGCCATGGTTGATTACTGAAGATCAGTCCTTACACCCTGCCGGAGATTCAGAAGCCAATTTATCATAGTTCTCCCTGGAAATGTTGGCCAACATTCTGAAAAGCGTGGTCAGTAGTAGCAACAGAAATCTGTTCTTGCCAAGCACAATGTCACCGTCCCCAGCCCTTCCCCCAACACAACCCAATAGGTGCTTCCTGGCTGCGAACTTGGGAAAGTCACTTGGCCTGTCTGAGATTCCACTTCCTAATCTGGCCTGGTGAAGACAAGAAAAACAGTTTATTTAAAGTGTCTAGCAAAGTGCTTGGACCAAAGTAGGCCCTCTGAAATGGTTATGGCTGTGTTGTTAAGGTGATGTTTTAAGTGCTGATGAATACAAAGATGGGTAACATATTTCCTTCTGTTAAAATCTATAATCTAAAGACAGAGAACAAGATGAATGCACAATAACTATCATTCAGAACAGGATTATGAGAAGGTGTGAATTTCTGTGAAAAATCAGAATGGGGAGGAATATGATCCCAGGTGATTGGCAGGGGCTGGGTGTCTGGATTCAACTGGAGAGGGAGCTAGCAGGGAAGGCTTCCTAGAGGATGAGAGTTCAACAAGGGGCAGGTATAGAATGTGGGTGGCCGAATGACTGGGCAGAAGGAGCTACAGAAGTAAGACCCCAAGTCAGGAAGACAAGGGCCTGCTGAGAAACACGAGCTATGAAGTGCAAGTGCAGGAAGAGTTGGGATGAGATTAGAAGGGGGTCTGGGGCCAGACTGTGGAAGGCCCAAGTGCTGGGCAAAGGAGTTTATACTTAATTCAGTGGTCAACGGGGAGTCATTGGAGGCTGTTGAGCAGCAGAATTGCTTTCTTTACAGCTGTGCCAGACTAAATTAAACCTAAACAGTACTTTATAGCTGGAAAGGGAAGGCCCAGGAATAGCTCTTGACTCAGAAACAGGCATTGAGGAAGGTAATGAGAAACAGCCCTGACTGATCAAAGCAGAGAGGTTAATTAAATTTGTAATTACCGTGAAAGGCCATTAAAAACCCTAGTTCACTAGAGATAACTGCTGTAGTGGGCCTTCAAAGACGAACGCTTCTCTTAACCTTGAATAGGGCGGATGTCTGCTTCTCTGTGGAGGAGATATGATTAAGGTACTTAATAAATCGTAGATAAAGACGCACACGTGTGTGTTCTCTGTAAACCCACTCTCTGTCCCTGCATATATCTGTGTATCTATGTAGGGTGCTCCACAAGAGGGGTCCCCAACCCCCAGGCCACTGGCCCTTATGGGTCCATGACCTGTTAGGAATCAGGCTGCACGGCAGGAGTTGAGCAGAGGGCAAGCAAGCAAAGCTTCCTCTGTATTTACGGCCGCTTCCCAATGCTCACATTACAGACTGAGCTACCCCTCCTGTCAGATCAGCAGCAGCATTAGATTCTCATAGCAGCATGAACCCTACTGTGAACTGCACATGATAAGGATCTAGGTTGCATGCTCCTTATGATAATCTAATGCCTGATGATCTGTCACTGTCTCCCATCACCCCCAGATGGGACCATCTAGTTGCCAAAACAAAACAAAACAAAACAAAACAAAACACCAGCTCAGGGCTCCCATGGATTCTACATTATGGTGAGTTGTATAATTATTTCATCATATATTACAATGTAATAATAGAAATAATGTGCACAATAAATATAATTTGCTTATGTCATTCCAAAACCATCCTCTCACTCTGTTTGTGGAAAAATTGTCTTCCATGACACCTGTCCATGGTGCCAAAAAGATTGGGGACTGCTGCTTTATAATATCAGGTCAGTAACTCCCCAAAAGGAATTTACACAGTACATGATGGGTCTCTAATTTTGACGCCTTATCTATCAAGCAGGTGCCAAGATAACTCAACTTGCTCCATATTGCTAAAGCTTCCCATAAATTGTTCAAATGTATTTCTATTCTGAATTGTTCCACGGTGGCTTGCAACAATTAGTAGATTACATTGGTAATCTACTAACAGACCAACCGGGACTAGTGGACAGCTCACCATGGACATTGTTGATGGAACTGGCCCTGAATCCCATCATCACCTTGAGCAACAACTGTATACATAGCATGGTCATAGATGTTGAAGCAGGACAATACTACTGTCTTGGCATGTACATTACTTCACGGTTTACACAATATATTCACTTCTCCTGTCTCATTAGAGATACAATTTATATTCCCATTAATCCACTGAGAAAACTGAGGCTCAGAAAGAGGAAGGCATCTACCCAAATATATAGTGCATGTTAGTGTCCAGAAAGACTAGAAACCAGATCTTCTAAATTTTAGCTCAGTGTTCTTTCAGCCACACCAAAGTGTATTTACTGGCACTTACAAATTACATGGTATAATTTTTGGTCCCTCTCCTAAAGCCTAGCTGGTAAGAGAAGATGAATAAGGAAGCAATAAAGTGAAAAGATTTTGAGATAAATAAGGAAGCAATAAAGTGAGAACGAATACACACCAGATTTTATGGTCACGGTGAGAGTCTCAAGAAGGGAAGAGCCAGGAAGGCTTCCTGGAGGAGACGTGAAATTCTGCCACTGTAGCAGAAACCCAAATTCTAAAAAGCTTAAACACATCGGAAGCGATTGGTCCCATGTGTCTAAGTGTAAGCACCTGGGGATGATACAGCCTGGACCTTCTAGGGCAGCTCCATGCTGTTGGAGGCTCCGTCCCTTCCTGTGGTTTTCTGCCTTCCTATTGCACAGATGTGCATCCACATAGTTCAGTGAATCCACACGCTGTCCACATTCCTGTCCCAGAAAGGGGCAAGGAAAGAGGATGCCCCTCCCTTTAAGAATACGATCCAGGCCAGGCGCGGTGGCTCACGCCTGTAATCCCAGCACTTTGGGAGGCCGAGGCGGGTGGATCACGAGGTCAGGAGATCGAGACCACCCTGGCTTACATGGTAAAACCCCGTCTCTACCAAAAATACAAAAAAATTAGCCAGGCGTGGTGGCGGGCGCCTGTAGTCCCAGCTACTTGGGAGGCTGAGGCAGGAGAATGACGTGAACCCGGGAGGCGGAGCTTGCAGTGAGCCAAGATGGCGACACTGCACTCCATCCTGGGCGGCAGAGCGAGACTCCATCTAAAAAAAAAAAAAAAAAAAAGAATACGATCCAGAAGTTGCACAAACTTGTTCATGAATGATCTTGTTTTGTTACTAGAGAAACTGGGACTTGTGGTCTTTGTTCTGGCCAATGGTATTCCCAGCTAAAATTCTGTCACCGTGGAAGACAACAGAATGAATATTGGAGAATAACCAGCAATCTTGGCCATATACATAAGGCTCAGCTGAGCCTTGAGCAATGGGTGGGAGTGTGGGTGGTGGCACAGGGCCAGTGATTTGGGGGTCAGGAGGGGAAACAGAAGGCATCCCAAGCAGGCCGGACTACATGATAAAAAAGTGGGAGGTCCATCCTAGGCACAGTAAAGAAATGAAGGTATCAGAAATGGCAGCTGAAGTAAGGTATAAAACCAGAGGTGTTCATTGGAGCCAGACAGATAATGAGACTTGATGGTCCATCAAGATGGTTCTCAGGGAAATTGTGTCTAAGGAAAATGTGTTGGTCAGGACAGCAGAGGATGAATTAGATGGGTTAGTGACAGGAGTCAGGAAGAACCATTCGGAGCCTCTTTCAACAATCTGTCCATATATTGGTAACGACTCTGCCCAGGACAGAAGCCCTGGATTGAGAGAATGGGTGGCGTAAGAGTGTTTCATGGAAGAATAACAGGGCTTCATTTCTGTCGGGCTATCGGAATGAAGGCTCCTGGAACGCTGCCTCTCTGACATGCATTCTCTAGGGCTCCCCAAGTACCCAGGCATCCTTCCTGCCTGTGTTCGCAGCACATGATACCAACACCATATTCAACAACAAATATTTGTTCAACATAAGCTTCACGTGGGCACAAAGTTTGGCACATAGTAGATACTCAGCCAGTATCTGTTGAATAAATGGCTGAATGAATAAGTAACTAAAATGCAGGCACAGAACACACTGAGTACTTCACCCAGAAGAGGCCATTAAAACATTGTGGGGAAAGTCAGCTATCACATCTTTAGGATTCTACCCAGAAAACAGACTTACACAAAGTGTTTCCTGCAAACTGTCATAGCAACAGCACCCATTTGTGACATCATGGAGTGAAGAGGCACATTATTCTCTGAGCCAAACTCTTTCTTCAAATCAAACCCACAGAAGAAAAATGCAGACACCAGGTAAGCCTAGCTGTGTATATTCTCATCTTATTTTCTTCTTTTAAGTGCGTAGATTTCCTGAACTGGCTAGATGTGGGTAGTTCCACTGCCACCATTATTCCTGGGGCTTTCTTACATACTCCAACTTCCATTCCGTGAATGAATCCAAAGAAGGTTGCCTTGACAACCACTCACCTCTCTCTCATCAAGCACCCTGAACAGCCTCAAGTGCTTCATTGAGATAAAAGCCTGCAGATCACCCAGACTCAGGACCTCTGATGACGCACAGCAGCTGAGAGGCTAACCTGGGATATGCTGCTGTAGATAAAAGTCCTGAAACGCTTCCTTTCCATCACCTTTCCTGTCAGCTACCGCAGCCATTCCCACTGACAGGTGAGCACTAGATGCCATTCTGCCAAAGAGAAGCCACATGAAGAGGCTCTTTGCCAATGGACCCGTGAACTGTTTGTTCCAGATAACTATGATATTGCGCAATTAGGTAACAGACTTATCAAATCCTTTCTATGCCACTTAACCTGGGCAGTATCTTGTTCCAGCACTGAGAGGTCTGTTATTTCACAAGTCCCTGGATGTTCTTTTCTGGGCTTCAGCAGAAGGGTAGGAGTCCCAAGGCAGCCTTTGAATCCAAGATTTTAATATCTAAAACACCAGAATAAAAAGCCCCAAACCCAGTCCCAATTTTACATTTTCATAATATGAGCCCAAGCAAAATCTATAGATTTATTAAAATAATTAAGCCAGAATAAAACTGGACCAAAATATATTCTCTGAACCAAACCAATATTTTGTTCTATTCACATATTCCAAAGAGCTGAAAGATGGAGTCATATGGTAAACACTGCCAAAATTTCCTAGAATGGGGATATCTCCTTTAAGCAGCATTGAATTTGGAGGTGAGTTTTAAGATATTATTGTGAAGCCATTTATTCTGCAATTAGCATATAGCAAGCCCTGTACCAGGTACTTCTCATGCATAACTTTGTTGGATTCTCATAATTGACAGGTTGTCTTAGTAGCCCCATATTACAGATAAAGAAATGCTTAGCAAGCCTATGTAGACTTCTTCAGGTCATACAGCCAGTCAACTACAGATTTTAGCTCAAGAGTATGATTTTACTCTCACATCCATGCCCTCGTAGGTGAAAGAGAGAAAGAAGGAGGAGGAGGTGGAGGAGAGGAAGAAGAAGAAAAGAAAAAAAGAGGGAGGGAGGGAGGGAGGGAGGGAGGGAAGGAAGGAAGGGAGGGAGGGAAGGAGGGAGGCAGGGGAGGCACGGGAGGCACAGGAGGCACAGGAGGCACAAGAGGTGGAAATGGGGAAAGAGGAAGAAGGAAAGGAAAGAGGGAGGGAAAAATTGGGGTAGGGTGAAAGTAAAGCCAGAATCCAGTCTTGAAATCTAAATTGCTTGTCTTAGTGAGACAATGATGTGGCTAATTTGAAAGTAAGAAGTACATATCTGGCCCCCTATCAGCATGGATGGTTTGAGAATAAAGAGAAGCACTTGAATGTCAAAGACAGACAGCCTTTGACTGGAGGTTGTCAAAACCCGTATTCGAAAGAATACAGTTTTCTTGTATTCTTTCTTGTATTCTCTCCAGCCACGGTTCTAACCTTGAGGATGCCACTGGGTTAAGTCTCACCCAGAATACTGCTCTGCCTCCTGATATCCTAATCCAAAGTGCATTTAATCCTTCCCTTTGAGAGGATTGTGGGAAAGGTTCTAAATCCTATTTTTCCAAGGGTGGTCTTATACATTTTAGATAGCAAATAGCATTTAAGATAGAGCACAAGACATTTTACATTCTAGAATCAAATCCCATGCCAGAACGTCAGTCCTTGACAGTGGTAGCAAGTACCTCAAATGTGATAGGTATATTAAAGATTTTATTTTCTTTTAAAAATTATTTTATTTTTATGGAGACAGGGGCCTCACTCTGTTCCCCAGTCTGGTCTCAACCTCCTGGGCTCAAGCTATCCTCCCACCTTGGCCTCCCAAAATGCTAGGATTACAGGCGTGAGCCACCATGCGCAGCCAGATTTGAATTTTCAATTTAGCTCTGACTTACTTGAGTTGAAAAGACACAGTACATGTGAGCTGATAGGAGGATGAAGTGGGCAGGATACATATTCTTTTATACTTACAGCTTGTAAGACACAAGTGTTTTTGCGGCTAGGTCTTATAGTAGAAAGTTCTAGGAGGTGTTAGAGGCAGGTGGACAAAAAAAAATTTCAACATTAAACAGAATAATATGTGAACATAGACCAACTCTCATTCAGAATTACAGGTCTGGGGACCTTGCAAATTGATTTGTCCTCGTAGGCCCCTTAGATAAAAGCTAAAATTGTTCTTATTCCCCACCTTACAAAATGAAACCAAGAAAGGAGATTGAATATGTTTTAATGGTGAAATTTACCAGAATACCTAATTGCTTGAGAAACACTGAGAGATTTTGCAACTGGAGGAGAGTCTGAAGTCAACTTAGTGATAAATCAGAGAGTAGGAAGCACAAACACACAAGCACAGATGAAAAACCCAAGGTAATAATTAACTCAAGAGAAACAGAAAAATTATGCAGCAAAGGAAAGTAATCATAGTTTACTACATAAGTCAGTTGTATAGAACATCTACATATCCGTAAAATGCAAACAATGACTATTGTACCCAAAGTTACAATATAACCATATTGCAAAATGGGACGTCCAGAAAGTGTGTGGATGTGTATGTATGTTTGGGGTGTGTGTGTAGTGTGTGTGTGGGCTGTGTGTGTTTTCATGGTGTGTGTTGGGGGGTGTCTTCATGGGGTGTGCTTGTGGAGTTTGTGAGGAGTGTGTTGTGTAGGTATGTGTATGTGTGTGTCTCAGTGGCAAAGAAGTAAAAGCAACTAGATCCTCACTTTACAGAGCAAGAAATCCTAATAAATAGCAAGACAAGCACATTATATAAAGATATGAAGGTTAATGCCAAAAAATGCACTAAAAGAGTTAAAAATGGCTGCCTCTGGGGAATAGAAAATTTGAGGAGCATGGAGACTGTTGTTTTCAGAATCTGATTTTTTAAATTATGTGCATGTGTCACTTTGATAGAAGAAAAATCTTTTTTGAAATTATGCACCTATGATGATGCTATACACAATTTAGAGGTCAATAAACATGAGCTATTCTTATTAACCGTGGAATGTTACCATCTTTAAAATGGGCCAGTGACAACAGACTCCATGCCTCTCCATGTGACAGCCTCATAACGGAGCTTTCTAGAGCCCAGATCCTCGGAGAGCACCTCCTCTCTGCCACACTCCACGCTAGGCCCTGAAATGCAGCTGTGAACATTCAGACCCAGCTCTGCCCGTCCCCGGGTTCACTCTAGTGGGGGTGACACAAGCGTCACCTGCATTCAGGACAAGCACCGGGGGTGTTGCGTTTTTTTAATGTAATTTGGGAGGTGAGCATTTGCTTCAGTGTATTTGGATTTTTGGCACCAAATTCGGTTTTTGAGCCCTGACTCTCGACTCCCGTTGGCTGGCGCTGACAGGCAGCTAGCTTGGCTTGGTTTTGTAAGTTCTTGGCGACAGTAATTGGGACAGGTGCTGTGCCCTTAAACCAGCTGTGGTTAACCAAAGAGAAGTCCAGTCAGGGTGCACAAAATCCTGGAGTGTATAGGCCCACTGTGGCTAGGTCGTCCAGTGCTCATGTTTAGAGACAGACCGGACTAGGGACAGGAATGTGACCTGCAGCTCACCCAACGTGGCACGGATAAACAGTTCAGAGCGGAAACTCCGACCTTCTGATTGCTTTACACCTCACTGGGCTGTTTAGAAGGCCCTTCACATTTTGGGTGAATGAAGCGGATTTGAGCAATCACACATCAAAGTTGCTTTTTCCATCTAGGCCCTTGAACCGACATTCCAGAGACCAAAGCAAAATGTTGAAAAGCTGCTCCCCCAGTCCCTCGGAACCTCCCCGCATCCCCTGAGCTGTGTCAAGGCTCAAACTGTGACAGAGCATCTCCCGGAGCCCCATGCGGTGATTCACAGAAGCGGTGGGTGGCTAGAGAAGCCAGCAGGAATTTAAAAAGACCTAAGGTACTCACGTAGGAATGAGCCTATAAATTCCTCCCCCATCACCGTTGCCAAGGCAATGCAGGTGGGCCCAGAGCCGGCTCTCAGGCAGGAAAATCCCCACCTCCTCCCTCTACACACATTGCCCTGGCTACATGTGGCTTTTTATGACAGCTTTGCTTCAGCTACTCCTCTTGCAGAAGGCGGCTTATTTTCTCCAGATGCTGGCTAGGTTGCAATATTCTGAGGAGCATGGAAGAGCCCATAGTATGATTTTCTCTGAGCTTTGACCTCTCCCTTAGAGATAAGCCCACCTCAAGCCCCTGCTCTGGGAAACTCAGAGATACCCAGCACTTCAACACTTGCATTGCAGCCTCCCCTCTGCTCCCCTGCCTTCCTTCATAGCCGCGTGTTCAGACCTTCCAGATTCATCAACCATATTAGAGCCTGAGGACCTCCTCATGGCAACCTGACCTCCAATCTATGTCGCCCACCAAAGCTGACTTGCAAAACAGAGGCGTTGGAGTCTACATCTGTTTTTGGAAGAGGAGTGTGGCCGCAATCGTAAGGGAAAGACAAAGCCAGCTGTGTTTTGACCTCAAGGACTCTGTGGGCTCCATTCCTGTTTCTTTTCCCCAGAGGATTTCGTGATGTCTTTCGAATTCCCCTCCCCTATGCTGCTGCACAGAGAGTCACCTTTTTCTTCCTAGCCCAGCTGCTGCTATTCCTGATGACAGCCTTGCCATATGGCACCACTCACTCAGCTCCATCAAGCAGCATCAAGCTCATCTTAATAGTATTTACCCCACACTTCTCTGGCAGTCAAACTCAGCTGCACCCAGAGCTGTCCTGTGGGTGTGCCCATCCACTGTACTCCACTGAGAATACTTACGCATGTGTATGAATGAAGCTAGACATGATACAGCTTTGTCTCAGCTTGGTGCTTTTTTTTTTTTAATTGGTGTTTGTTTGTTTGTTTTGAGACAGTCTAGCTCTGTTGCCCAGGCTGGAGTGCAGTGGCATGATATCAGCTCACTGCAGTCTCCGCGTACCAGGTTCAAGCGATTCTCCTGCCTCAGCCTCCCAAGTAGCTGGGATTACAGGCACGTGCCACCATGCCTGGCTAATTTTTGTATTTTAATAGAGAGGGGGTTTCACCATGCTGGCCAGGCTGGTCTTGAACCCCTGACCTCAGGTGATCTACCTGCCTCAGCCTCCCAAAGTGCTGAGATTACAGGCCTGAGCCACCATGCCCAGCCTCAGCTTGGTGCTTGCTAAGATGAACCAAAACAGGCAATTAAGGACCAAAACAGGATAGGAGAAAGGTCCGTTCTAAATGTTAACTCACTGTTGTCATTCACCAGACTGTTGATGCCTAATTAATCACCGATTGCATCACCTGATGACAGCTGAGAGTCAAAGATGTCATTTGATCTAGAGATAATCTACTTATGCGCTGGAGTGTGGGTAGGGGTAAGCCCGAGTGAATGGGCACATGCACCAGATAGAGAGGCAGATGGAGCCCAAGCATCTGAGACAGTCGTAAGCTTGGGGAGGGAACCTGAAGACGAGGAGCACATGTGCGACCTTATCCATCCACTCTAGCATGGTAGGTTTGTCCCAAAAGAGCCTGGGCATTCTACTGCCATCCCCTCTCCCCTTACCCTGAATGCCACCATCTAGGTAAACCCAGGAAAGTGTTTTGCTCTTAAGCCTATCCTCTGAGGAAGTAGGGACATGTTTGTTTGACCTGAAATCAATAGGGCCCGTGGTGACCCTGCTTCCACCCAACTGTGGAAGCTCCCTGCCACATTAAGGAATGGAGTGAGCCAGAAGTCACAGAAAGATCTAGGAAACTAAAGACCATGAATACACTTTCAAAGCTTGTTTGAGCATTTCTTTTTTTCTTTTTCAGTACTTGAAGGATGAGGCTTACAAACTACCGCAATAAAATGTCATTGTCTAAGATGCAGCAATTGACATATGTAAGTCAGCATATACAAATGAAATAGATCGCTATGAATACTACATGAAATGCTTTGCTTTTTAGGCCACATGGGGTTTTCAAGGATGTGTTGAGGCGAATTCTAACCTCTGTCTCTAACCTCTGCAAGATCTGGGGACCCTTTCTGGAGCTGTCTCAACTGTGGTGTCTTCAGTCAGAAAGTGGGGATGACATCACCACATCTCAAATGTGGGCAGGTTAAATAACATGATGGGTATGAAGCCTAGCACATCATAGGTGTTCAATCCATGTTGGTTCTCTCCTCCTGACTCCTTTGTCCCCCAAATCATAGACTTGACTTGTTGGTATCAGCACAGCCCTAGAACAATGAAAAAAATACAAAGAACAACAAGAACCTATTCAGTGTTTTTCACCTTGAATAATGTGAGTGGAAGACAAGGGAGACTGACATGTTAGTGAGAGAAATAAGATGAATGGACACTAAATGACACCTGTTTGGACTGACAGTAGCCCATTCACACATTTCACCAAAAACAACTGATTGTATTAGATGCACAGCTCTTCCTTCTATCCCCTTTTCAAAAGAAAAAAAAAGAAAGGCTTAACAATTTAGATGGAGGCTATCAAAATCTGCCTTTACTGCTTATTTTGATGATTTCATGGATATTCCTCATCATCCAGTGAATATTATTTTATACAGATGTGAATGTCTGGCTCCAACTATCAAAACAAGCCTGCTACCACTTGGGGGTTAAAACACGCAGGCTCTGGGCTCTCTACAGAAAGGACTTTTTAAAAATTGTAAGATGCTTCCATGAGGCAGGGCTGTGCGTGCCTGTGTGGTCTGAGCAGGCTGGCAATGGGAAGGCTCCCCTTCACAGAAATTCCCAGAGCACAATCTCGGGGAACACTTCGGGAGGCAGCCAGGCATGGGGATTTTCCAGTCTGCCCTTCCCCGCCCTGCCTGTGACAACTCAGCTCATGCATCAGGCAACGAATCCCATTCACGAAGCTGTCAGTGACTCCTGAATTCATTGAGAGACTCAGAACCCATCTTGCCCAGGTTCAACTGCGGGTTAATCCCGGCTAACCTAAATCATTGTTCCCTGAACACAAAGGAATGTGGAATTCTGTGCTGGGGCTGTGTGTCAGCACGGCTTCCTTGCTAGGTAGAAATATATCCGGCCTCAAGCGAGAGAGAATATATGAATATGTGAGTAGCTGGGGAGCTGTGCTTCTCCCTCCAGCCTGAGGTTTCCATTTACTGCCGCCCCCAGGGCATCCAGAGGCATGGTTTAGACCATAAAACCTGTTCTGTAGACAACTGAATCTCACAAGGGTCAGTTTTATTTTTTTCATGCTCCACTTCCAAAATGTACAACTGTAGGATGTTTCCTGTCTTCCCCTTCTACCATGAAGACAGCCACCAGTAGGGGAGGCTATGTGTGTGGGGGGGACATTGCTATATTTGGGCCATCAATTTAGAAAGCATATGAGGTTACAGTGTCCCTTCATGAGGCACAACTCTGCAAGGACCAGTTCCATAGCATAGTGAGATGAATATGCATATTAGAATCTGTACATAATCTTCACATGCAGTAATTGCAGTCCATAGGCTCTAGACATAAAGAAACATGCATTTTACAATAGTACTAGATCAATTTAAAAAACCCCAGGAGTTAGCATTTAGCTCACAAATTGGATAAAATATTAAATTCATTGAGAAATAGGCAAACCATAAGGCTGTAAAATGGTCCATTATAGTCAGAAAACTCATCTGCCATGTGAGAGCGCTGAGCACAAGACCTCACCGTAAATCTACAAAAGAAAGGCTACTCTTCCAGACTCAGGAGAGAAGGGAATAAAAGTCGCATCAGCAATGGATATTGCTCCCAGATTACAAAATTAGGGTTTATAGGGAAAAATTCAGCCTGCAGTAATGGTCAGTAAAAATGACTGGTTTTATAGAACAGGAACTTGTAAAGATAAAGGAGAAAAGCAGCAGGAAAAAAATTAAAAAGACTCCCACAGAAACCTGTCCAGAAATAGAAATTCAGAGGACTTCCTGCCCTTTAATAGAATAAGCTCAATGGAGATGAAGAAGAATTATGGATGAAGCAAGGCAAATTATTTGATCAAACTGAGAACTTTTTTTTAAATAGTCATTCAGGAAAGAGCAAAAACCACTACAGTTATCTACCATGGACAGAAGTTGTTCAGAGCTGGTAAAGGGATTAAATCTGTCACCAGTCACCAGGCACGGTGGCTCATGTCTGTAATGCCAGCATTTGGGGAGGCTGAGGTGGGCAGATCACCTGAGGTCAGGAGTTTGAGACCAGCCTCGCCAGCATGGTGAAACTCCATCTCTACAAAAATACAAAAATTAGCTGAGCATGCTGGTGCATGCCTGTAGTCTCAGCTGCTCTGGAGGCTGAGGCATGAGAATCATTTGAACCCAGGAGGCAAAAGTTGCAGTGAGCCCTGATTGTATCAGCCTGGGTGATAGAGCGACACTCCATCTAAAAGAAAAAAAAAAAAAAAACTGTTGCCAGAAGCTCACCATCTTGCATGCTGTAGTTGTACCAATGGGTAGGTGCAGCTATGTCGCTAAGCTACACTTCAAGACTTCAACTTCAAATGTATGATAATAAATGGATTAAGCCAATAAAATTTTATAAGTGCAAACCTAAGAATATATTCTTTAATGGCTGCTATGAAATATGCTGGAATAGGGCCAGAATATTAACACACATTCTGGCCAAGACATCAGGCGTCTGGTTATTTGAGAGAAGTAACAGAGGCAGGGAGTTCGCCGTCCAAGCTGTTCTCGCTGTATTCACACCCACAGTCATGAATGAAGGATCACTGTGAACCCAGCACGGCGTCTAATGCTCCAGACACAAAGGTGGGAAGTTTCTTAAGATGCTCACAGTTAGCTAGCACAAAAAAAAATCTTTTTTAAATCAATGCACAATGTGTAATAGGAGGCTGTGAGGGAAAGCAGGATTGGGGATAACTTCTATGAGAGGCTGGGAAGCCCCTTCACAGCACAGATAGCTGTGTAGCCAATCTATGGCCCTTAAGATAAAAATCAGAAATTTAGTTTTGTTTTAGGGGGTCTGGGATTGGGGGCTACTTGGAAAGATTTTTGTGATATAAAGAGAATAACTTAACTGCTGCAAACCCTCCCTGCAGTCACTCTTTTTTTTTCTATCTTTTCTCTTTTGGCTTATATAGAGATGTGAGCAGGCACCATAGCAGCTGTCTTGCAACCATGAGTAAAAGGCTAAGGAAATTGCAGAAATAACCCTGGCATCAGAATGTCTGCATTCTAATGTCACAGTAACCCCGACTGCTAAGCCAACACCAGTGCCTGCCACTTCCTGATGTCTTGTCATAGACAAGAAAAAAACCAGCCCAGGTGTGTTTAGACCACAGTGATTGGTGCAGCCAAACGCATTCCTAACTGACGCATTTTCTAAGGAGTCTGTCTCAGGCTGTAACCGCATTAGTCAAATGTTGACACTGGTCCCTTATTGCTGATGAAGTTCAAACTCTTTTGCCTTTATTGTTAGTCTGACTTCTCCCTTCCCTTCAGCATTACCACCCTTGTTCCCAACATGAGACTCTCCAGTGGAGCCAGGATGGCCTCTTCCCTCTTGTTCCAGCTAGCAAATTAAATTTTCCTGCTGGAAACTCCTGTAGCCCTTGAAGAGTTGCACAATGATGCATTTCTCCATTTCTACCTGGTCCCCAACCCTGAGCATTTTCTGAGGGCCAGAACTAGAGCACATGTTTACTTTTCCATGTCTCCCATGATAACTGGCGTGCTACTGGGCACATCTGGGGAGAGAGTAACAGAATGTCTGGTAGAAGAAAAGCTTAGCTAGATCTGCTCCAACCCTCTCCTTTTGATTGGACGGTCAAGACCCAGAAAGGTGAAAGGAACTCACTCAGGGTTACACAATGGAGTATTAATAGGCCCAGAACCACAACGCCAGGCTGCTGTCTCTTCGATGAGCATATTTTCCACTACACCTCACTGTCTAAAAGAAAAGTGCCAATTAGAGGCACACAAAGTAACAAAGCTGGTGATGACTGTAATGGATGATTACGTCTTTTCAGAGGGCATGAAAAAGAGAGCTGAGTAGAGGCTGATGTGAAGGAGCTTCTTCAGTATATAATTAACTGCTGACTTCTTTGTATTGTTACAATAATGAACTCAGCAATGAGCTGAGAACACCCTTGCCTGAAGGGGCAAGAATAGCAATGCCGTTCTCATTGGAAGACGGCTCATGGGCTGGGGTCTTTGGCGAGCTCTGAGTCACTGGGTCCATATCCCATTCACGTGCATTTAGGATGGAGCCTGACATGTACCTCAATGCCTCTCCTCTTTCTAACAGTATGGGAACCGTGCTCTAAGCTGGTTTGTTTTGTTGTTTGTTTTGAGACGGAGTTTCGCTCTTGTTGCCCAGGCTGGAGAGCAACGGCGCCATCTCGGTTCACTGCAACCTCGGCCTCCCCGGGTTCAAGTGATTCTCCTGCCTCAGCCTCCCAAGTAGCCGGAATTACAGGCGGCCACCTCCATAACCAGCTAATTTTTTGTATTTTTAGTAGAGATGGGATTTCACCGTGTTGGCCAAGCTGGTCTCAAACTCCTGACCTCAGGTAATCCACCCACCTCAGCCTCCCAAAGTGCTGGGATTATAGGCATGAGCCACTATGCCAGACCCGCTCTGAGCTGTTTTGAGAAATGAAGCTTCAGAGATTATGAAAGACTGTGATCTCCAGAATGACTTGACTGGAGGCCCCTGAGAATATGGAATTTGTTGATTCACAGTCATAAAATCTTAGATTTTGGAGCTAGATGAAACCCTGGAGATGACCTAGTCCAATCTCTTTATTTTAAGATGAAAAAACTGAAGCCCAGAGACAGAAAGTGACTAGCCTGTGGTCACACAGCCAGGAGTGGTAGAACTGTCAGATGCTGTGTTCCTCTGTTGCTTCCTGGGTACACACACTGCTGGCCACACCTCCCAGGCTTTGGCTCTCTGATGCCAGAGTGTCAAGTGCCTTCCAGAGCCCCCTGAAGTGTCATGCTGCTTACTGGAAAGATACATAGATTGCTACCTAACAAGAAATGAGGCAAAGCCATTTTTTTCCTCTCCAGTTAATCAATAACTGGACACAGGGGCCTCCGTTTCCTGAAACATGATCTCAAATACTACATAGGGTGAGTGAGGGATTTGGCAAGACTGACAGCCGCTTTTGTTTAAACACAGAAGCCAGACAGATCAATGGACAGGGTGAACTACCTGTGTGATGTCGTTTGTCTTAATATCCACTATGAGGCTTTAAAACTAAGTTTGCAGAATCACAAAGAATGAGAACTGAAAGAGAAGAGGAAGCCAAGGAGCAGAGTCTGTCCAGAGTCAGATACCTCAACAGTGACAGAACTAGTATTAATAGTGAACGAAAACCCTGGGCAAGATGACACACCAAGTTATTAAAAGGCCATGGAGCACTTATAAAAGGCACATATAAATAGAAATGTTGAATTACAAATGCAAGCCCCTGTGACCTGCCTGGTGTTCCAGCCCAGTGGTTTTCAAATATCTAAGCCAGAGCCACTGAGGCTGCACCTCAAATCAAGGCTGGCTGAGGGCACACATCGGTGCAGGTCTCCAGAGCTCCCGGCTTGGAGAGGGATGCTCTTAAGATCACCATCTTGAAATTCTTAATTTTATCTTTGAATTCCTATTTTCGACGGGAAATTGAAGAATGCACCAGGATCTGGGAGCCTTGTTTCACACTCAGGCCCCACCACCACAATCTCTCTATTCCCTGGGAAGGGTTCCTCACTGCCTCCTTGTCCTGGTGCCCTGCCCTTGCCCCACCTCCCCCACCCCACCCTGCAATGGATCCTGCCCACTGCCTGGGGCATCAGTGAGATCACCTAGGCTGGTGATGGGGTGGGGTGCAAGCTGTTGTTCTCATCACTGTGCCTCCAGTGAGAGCCTGTGAATAGACAAGGATGCTGGAAGGTTCAGGGGTGTCTCAGGGCAGGGCAAAGTGGTAGCTGTCCTCATCCCTGGCTGACAGCTGGCCTCATCCCTGGCTGGCAATACCATGGCTGTTCAGTACCCATCCAGGCAGGTGTGAGCCTCTGCCTACCCAACCCAGGTCCCAACCACTTCTCTGTGGAAGTTGTGATCCCTTGAGAGTCTCCAGTCCTCTGTGAGTTAGGGCTGACTCCCATGACCTGGCAGGGCAGAGAACATCAATCTGGGGGCTGACAGAGAATGTCCTGCCCTGGAAGCTAGTGGGCAACACTGCAAAGTCACAAATAGGGGTCCCAAGGCACTTGTGAGAGTCCATACTGGCCCTTGCAAATATCCCCATGCCTGAGGGAGTGCAATATCAAATAGCAAATTTTTAAAAAGCGCAATAGAGAAAGAAACCAGAAAGAAAACAAAAAGTGTAATATTTTGGAACCTTTAACAGCACTTTTGTCTAGCTTTTGAATAAGGAGCCTGCAATTTCATTTTGCACGACACCACACTAATTATACAACTGGTCCCGCCTCAAGCTTAACCCAGGCCCTGGGACCTATCACATCCACATAGGATGTTAAGGATCCAAATGACTCAGTAACACATGGAATAAGAAAGTAATCCTTGCTTGAATCTGTACTTTAATTTATGCCCTATGTTATACTCCAGAGTTATTGCTACGTTCCTATCTTGGTCTCTTTGCCTTACTTTCCAAGTGGAGCTTTGCTCTAGAACAGGGGTCCCCATCCTCTGGGCCATGGAACCATGCTGGTCCATGGCCTGTTAGGAACTGGGTTGCAGAGTAGGAGGTGAGTGGCAGGTGAGTGAGCATTACCACCTGAGCTCCACCTCCTGTTAGATCAGCATCGGCTTTAGATTCTCAAAGGAGCATGAACCCTATCGTGAACTGTGCATGCGAGGGATCTAGGTTGCAGGCTCCTTATGAGAATCTAATGCCTGATGATCTGAGGTGGAACAGTTTCATCCCGAAACTATCCCCTGCTTCCATCGTGGAAAAATTGTCTTCCACGAAATGGGTCCCTAGCGCCAAAAAGGCTGGGGACCACTGTTCTAGAATACCAGTCCCTAAGATCTGCTACTCGCATCTTCCTAAAGTTATCTGCTTGTCAAAGCATCCATTCTCTCCTCCTATAGGAATCTCTCAGGCCTCATATCCTGGGCCAGTGGGCCCATCAAGGAGAGAGGAAAGAGCCAACATCTGATAGGTGCCCACTTCCTGGCAGTGCTTCACCTGAGTCCTCAATTCCACACTCTGTTTGTTTGAAACAATACTAGTCCCAGCTGTGACATAAAAAGATGGCATGTTCTATTTTAAGAGGCAGTTTCTTTGGTCTGGTTTCTTTCTATTGATTCTGTGTGGTCAGAAGTAACTAGGAATACTGTCTTCAGCAAGAGAAAACTTAGTAATTTGGGATTGTTTAACCCATTGAAGGGTAATTTGAAGAGTTCACACTATGTGGACGGATTACCTGAAGGATGGTGGTGAGTATTTTTTCTATTGATCACAAAAGGCAAAGCAGGCTGAGCATGGTGGCTCACGCCTGTAATCCCAGCACTTTGGAAGACCAAGGTGGGTGGATCACCTGAGGTCAGGAGCTCAAGACCAGCATGGCCAATATGGTGAAACCCTGTCTCTACTAAAAATACAAAAATTAGCTGGGCATTATGGCGCATGCCTGTAATCCCAGCTACTTGGGAGGCTGAGGTAGGGGAATCACTTGAACCTGGGAAGTGGGGGTTGCAGTGAGCCGAGATCATGCCACTGCACTCCAGCCTGGGCAACAGAGATTTTTGTCTCAAAAAATAAATAAATAAATAAATAAATAAATAAATAAATGGCAAAGCAAAAGAAAATGAATTTAACTTTGAGCCAGGAGATATTTAATACAAGGAGAAAGTTCCTAGGGCTGGAAATTTTCTGATGGAAGAGGATACTGAGACCATAGACACGGGGTCCTAGATTCCCATAAACAGATTTGGGTTGGAATTCACTCTGTGACCCTGACAACTTACCCTCTTTTGAGTGTCCAGTGCTAAAATGTAGACAATATTATCTACTTCATCACTTTGCTTTGTGAAATCGGCCTGCACTCAGCATTTAGTAATTTTGTCTTGCATTTTAATTGGAAACACCCTGGTACAGAATAAAGAGCATGGATTTTGGGATTTGGCAGTCTTGAGTCAGGATTCCATATCTGTCACTAACAGAGTTACTTTCAGAGAGGGATTATTGCACCTCAGGTTTCTGTAAACAGGAGATAGACCACCTGTAACACACCTGTTTTGAATATTAAATGAGATAGTCATTAATAGATTAATGTATAAAGTGTCTGAAATGTATTAGCACTCAACAAACATTAATGTTTTCTCTTCCATCTAATCACATGCACACATGCGTGCAAGCACACACACATACACACACACACGTGGCTTTAATCAGTAACAGAAAGGGAAAATGTCGATGAATCCTAGTTTTTTTTCATTGCAAGGTGTGTGAAAACCAAGCATACTTGCAGAAACTCAAGATTATTTTTATTTACTCAGAGACAATACTGACTTTAAAGAAAAGAAATTATCTAACCTAACAATGGAAGTGTAAACATCACCCTAAATGATGGTCTTGGCCATTGTGGTGTTCCTGTCTTCAGACAGTGGCTGCCTCTGGGCTTTAACCTGGACCAAATCCTCTGAATTCTGCCGCCCTTAATGGTGACAGGCACCTGCAGCACAGTGTAAATCTGCAACACTAGCATGCCCTCCAGGTTTCAGTGACCGGATTCCTCTCGTCAGCATGTCTGCAACTCTCCTTTCTCTCAGGAGATGTGTTGACTCATTATACCTATTTTTAATAAAAAGGCAAATTTAAGCCTTAATTTGTATTTTAAAATAAATTCTCTTAGGGCATGGACCCACTAGGGAATTAGTTACAAATGGTTTTTAGTGGTACACATTTAATGAACATTTAACCAAAGAAAGAAAATTGCTAGTATGCATAATTTCTTTTTTTTAACCAGCTGAGTATGATAAATCCTATCTGTCCTTTCTCTTTAACTACTTTTGCCATAAAACCACTTATTTTATGGCCGTGGTGACACAGCACTGCTGTTTCACTTTATGATTAATAAAGTAATTAGCACCGGTTCTAATATTCTTAGCAAAAAGGCTGGGCTTTAGATATTTCTGTTGCCCTAATAGGTTTTCTAAAGCTACATGGTGCCCATGGAAGATGGCCTGCTGGGGCCTGCAGAACGCATTTTCTAATGTACATCGTCAAGATCAATTGATAAATTACGTCAGTCTGGGTTAGTCATCATACAGAAAATATCATTAGAGATGAAAAAGGAATGAAAGGATGCGGGCAGGGGTAATTTGGTTTTCATTGTTGATTTATGTTATAGAACTATTCTTGTAGGCAATTACCAAAACACAAAATGCCAGGGAAAATGAAAAAATTCTGAAAAAGAAGAGCCTATTACAACAAGATATGTGGTAAACAGACAAGAATGACAGCTCTTTTGAAACAGCAGCCCATGGAGTCAACTGGGAAGCATATTTCTGACTCCGCACACAGTGTCTTTGGGGCCACGCCAAACGCAGAACTGGATCCTGGGCTCTGTTATGTCCTTCCTTCTGAAATATGTTTTCTTAGTGAGTCTTTGAGGACAACGCAGGGGTGCAGGTCACAGCAAGCGTGTGCTGGGAAGAGAGCCACCGTGGTCTGAGGAGTTGCAGTGTTGATTCCACTTGGAAACGTGAGGATGCTGAGCTCATTCACGAGGGAATCTCAGGGCCCTTTGTGGTTGCAAAACTAAAAATAAAAAATTGCATTTATGCATGGACGTTGCTGAAAAACAAACCCTCTCTGTTTTCAGGGTTTAATAGATTTCAGGTTGGAAATCTATTAAAGCAATTTGATTCTTGGGACAGGATATAAATTTTCTTACCAGCCTTACAATCGTTGACCTCATTGCCCTTCCATAATTCATTCATTCATTCATTCAATGAGCATTTATGCTATGTCAGGCCTGGGCTTGGCCTTGGGGAGACAACGATCCTTGCTTAGGGAGCCCACAGTGTGTCATAAATAATAGTTTGGGCTCTGGAGTTAGACAAACGTGTATCCAGGTGTCACTACTTATTGGTTAAGTGACTTTGGATATATTACTCACACAAGCCAGATCTAAAATGGGGACAATAAGTATACCTACCTCATAGGGGTGTTGTGAGGATTAAATGAGGTAATGCTATCTAAGGGGCTGCAGAGAATATCATGCATTATGTGTGTTCAATTAAATAGAAGCTATCACTAGTTTATTAAGATCATGCCACTGATTCAGGACTATGCAGAGACACACTTTGAGCTGTTTCTCTGGTGCTAGAAATGAATTCATATAGAGTCATCTGAGCTTTCTCCTTGGTGTCTCCTTGGGATCTATAGTGCATATCTGCAAATAGTTCTCTCTGATCGGAGAAAAATCAGTAATTGGTAGAGATTGAATAAGATGCCAATACTGATCAGCCCGGGACTCCATCAATCAAACTACCCAATCCAGACAAACCAAGTTAGGGATGCTGGATGCTTCCTCTCTCTTTCCTCCTCCCCATCCTCTTCCCCTCTTCTTTCTTTCCTCTCCTCTCCCCTCTCATTCTCACCTATCACCTACATTCTCCTCTCCCCCTCTTCTCTCCTCCCTGCTGCCTGGTCATGTGGCATATCATTAGATTCTGCTATAGTCTGAATATTTGCGTCCCACCGAAATGTATAGGTTAAAAGCCTAATCCCCAATGTGATGACATTCGGAAGTGGAGACTTTTAGGGGAGTGATCAGGTCATGGGTGGAGCCCTCATGAATAGGATTAGTGCCTTTATAAAAGAAGGCTGAAAGAGAGCTATTGCCCTTCCACCATGTTGAGGATGCAGCAAAAAGGTGCCGTCCATGAACCAAAAAGTGGGCTTTCCCCAGAACTGAATCTGCCTCGATCTTGGACTTCCCAGCCTCCAGAGCTGTAAGAAATCCATTTCTGCTGTTTATAAGGTACTCAGTCTGTGGCATTCTGTTATAGCAGTCCAAAGAGACTAAAACAAATTCGCTTCCATTTTCCATAAGGAAAGCATGCCACCTCTCATGGTTCTGAATAATCCCCATCCCTCAGGAGCCAAACTGGAGTGAAACAAGAGTCAGTTGCTCAGAAGGAAAGTGAGTATAATTCACTGACACAAATTCCTCAGAGTTGGGAGGGACATCAGAGACGCTACCCAGCCCTTTGTCTTCAGGAGGGAAAGGTCTCATTTCCTTTCTCAGATGAATCTGGAGAGGTAGAGAAACCTGCCCAAAGCTGCACAGGTGTGGGGGTGGAGGTGGGTTACAAGCCCGGCCTCCCTCCTGAGGCCCGACTCTCCTGCTGTCCTGCAGCTCATGGTGACAATCACCCCTGGGTCACTGCGGCACCTGTCACTCCTTAACTGCTGCTTTTCTTAGGGCTTGAGATGCTTCGCTTGAGACACTTTTTTTTCCCCTGTAAATGGTCAGGCACAGTGGCTCATGCCTGTAATCCCAGCACTTTGGGAGGCCGAAGCGGGTGGATCACATGAGGTCAGAGCTTAAGATCAGCCTGGCCAACATGATGAAACCCCATGTCTACTAAAAATACAAAAATTAGCCAGGCATGTTTGCACATGCCTGTAATCCCAGCTACTTGAGAGGCTGAGGCACGAGAATTGCTTGAACCCGGGAGGTGAAGGTTGCAGTGAGCCGAGATCATGTCACCGCACTCCAGCCTGGGTGACAGCTTGTGCCTTCGGTCATCTCCCTTTCACTAGTTTCTAAAATGGCATTGGTTCACAGGAGTCACCTAGTCATGGAGTGAATTGGTGCCCATCCCTGTGGTGAGATGTAGGGAGGTGGGAACTTCCATGAGGCCCTGTTCAGGAGCAAGGAGACTGACGGGAGGTCTGGACACCTGGCCTCCAGATCCCTGTGCCCACTCGCTGCCTTGGTCTGACCTGCAAGCAAAGGGGTTAGCCTGGTTAGGGGGGCCAGCCCCAGCTCAGGACACACAGCTGTATGCTGGGGCTCAAATTCCCCAACAGCCTCTTGAAATGCTCAGAGGAGCTCTCAATCACCATGCTTGTGTGTCTGACTATCCCAGCTTTGCCCATAAACTCCCAACCAGACGCCTCTGTTCATCACTCGGTCTTGGCAAGAGAGGCCAAGTGGAATTCCAACAGTCACTGAGGAGCAGAGGGAGGCTTCCAGAAGGAGAGACATGACTAAATATTTTGGAAATTTCTCCTGCCAGTTTCTCTGTCTCCTCTACCGCCCCTGTTTCAAGACGTAGAGGACATAATCCTGTCACCCAAAACAAGACGGCATTTTAAAATTAAACTTGAAACAAGTACATATTTCTGATCTTCAACTCACTCTCACCCAGCCAGAGCATTCACAGTCCAGCCAAACCCTCCATACTACCTGCCTGCAGCATCTGTTTGGAGTGGGATCCTTCTAGAAATTAAGAGGTTTAACCCCACACAGACACTCACTGCCCCCCAAAATGTGTGCACATGCACCCCCAAAATCCTTTGTCAGCCCAGCCAAAGGCTGGTCATCATGTCTTTGTGCCCAGAGTAAGAAACGCAGCAGTTATTTCTCCTAAAATCAAGAGACCAAGCAGACCCTTCCCCAGACACCTGGAGAGAAGGTTGAATCTTAACTGGCCTCATCATCCCATAAAAGGGCAAGGGAAGCCATTCTGGCAGATTTTCTCTCCAAGCCTCATTGAATTCTGGCCTACCCCAGGGGCAGGAAGTCAGCGCTACTGCTGTGTGAGCAGCTGGTGTGGCCATCCATCAGCCTGCTGCCCCCTCTGACAACTCTCATACATGCCTGTGGTGCTGGAGGGTTCCATCAGGCAGGGACACCTATGCACCATCCCAAAAGGAGCATGAGGTCCCTAAAAGGTCCTCAGAGCCAAGGCTAGTCTGCCTGACCAGCAGTGATGGCCTAAACCAACACCTTTTGACTAATCCTGGTGCGGGGCCGTGAGCAGCTCCCCCTATGGGCCCTGCAGTGGTCCCCCTTTCACTCTGCGCCCTCTCACCCTCCCCCTCTTCCAGTGGCCTGTGTTCTCCTCGTACTGTGCCAGGATGGTGGGCAAGGGGCTATGCATGTCCAAAGGCTGTTGGTAGCTCCTGAGAAACTTGGCACTTTAAATGCCAGGGCTGAAAGCACTCGTCAGAGCACGGCATGCCGAGCTGATCCGAGTTGGGCCGCCCTCCACCCACACCCGGGCTGTGCTCCGCCCTCTCCTGCCGTGCCAGGGCTGCAGTCTCAGGTCCTGCCAGTTGGCTCTGGGAGTGCAACCACACAGACAATAAGGTCCTGGAAATCCTCCCACCTCACCACCACTTACACACTCCACACACCCACACTACACACAACACACATACTGCACACACACCATGAACACACAACGCATACCATCACACCACCCACACAACACACCACACACCCACATCACACATATACACCATGTGCACATACCCCACAACACACCACAGGCACCACACACACCACATATACCACACACCATGCACACAAAACACACACTAGCCACACCACCCACACAACACACCACACCCCCACATCACACACATACAGCACATATACACACCGCACCACACACAACACACACATACATCACATACACTCATTGCCCCACACACCACACACAGCATACAACCACACACCACACACCTACATCACATACAACCACACACCAACACCTACATCACACCTACACACACACTGCACCACACACCACACACAGCACACACACATACCACACACAACACACACCCACATCACACACATACACCATATACACACACAACACAACACACACACCACACTACCACACCACACACAAACCACAAACACATCACCCACACCACCCACACAACACACCACACACCCATATCACACACATACACACCATACCACATACAGCACACCACACACACCTCACCACCACTGACACATTCCACACCACATACCATACCACATACTACACATTACATACGTACCACACACCATACACACCACACACCACATATGCACACTACACATACCACATACACCATACCACAAACACCACACATCACACATGTACCACACACCATACCACACATACCATATACACTGCACATATCACACACACAAAACACACTCCAATACACTACACACAAACCATACACGCAACACACCACCAACATAAAACACACCACATACACACCAAACACATACCACACATACACCACACACACCACATAGCACACACACGAAACACACCATACACACACCACACACATATACACAACACACACCACATACCACACACACAAAACACACCATACACACACCACACACACATTACACACAACACACCACATGTACCATACACACCACACATCCTACACACACACAGCACACATGCCACACATACTACATACCATATCCCCCCCACACACACATCATACACAGATGATATACACACACCACACACCACTCACATCACACTCCACACACATACACATACACATTCACACAAGAAAGGCCTTCTTTTCATCCTTCTTCAAGACCCGAGTCAGATTCTTGCCACTCCTCTGCAGCCTTCCCTGTCCCTCTCAGTGCCGTGAGTCTCTTCCTCGCCTTCGCTCCTATAGCACTTCCTTTATACCTAAGCTTGCTACTCACTCGAGAATATCTGCGTGGCTATAAGCTCCCTGAGGGCTGGGACCTGGGCTTTCCCCTGTTTGTATTCCTTGTGAGCCTTGCAGAGGCCTGCATAGTTGT